TCAATCCATCTCGTTCGAGATGCTCTCCTCAGTAGTGGATGTGCCTGCACCGCTGCCGCCGCCTGGTCCACCAGTCTGGGCGCCATTCGCACGTTGCTCGGGAGCAGCTGAGGTCGAAGACGTCGTGGGCATAGTGGGCGCTGCACAGACGATGCGGTAGCTGGCATGTGCCGCGTAGCGTGGCGTCGGTTGCACCGGACTGTGTGGATCATGCCGTTCGATCCTCTGCAGCCCGAGCAGCATGTGGCGTGGCCGTAGCCGGAGTACCTGCCACATCCCATCGTGAGGCAAGTGGTTGCCTGAGCTGTTTGGACTCCAGGTGGCGCTTGCAGCTGGGCGAAGGCTCGCTGTTGCATTACGCACCTCCTTGAGTGTCCATTTGCGGTTTGGCGGCAGGGCTTACAGCAATGCTGATGCCCGTTGGCTATGAACCTTAGTGGGCACGTGGCCGTGCGACAAGTCCTTAGCACAGTTGCGACAGGCGGGTGGGTGTAGTATTGCGCCACCTGCCGCTGACCGCGGGAGCGGCGGCGGGTCATTCGCCGGCTGTGCCATGGGACCTGAGTAGGGTGGATGGGGCCTTAGGGGCGGGGTCTTAGGGGTGTGTGTGCAGGCAGCGCAGAGTGCGGGCTATACGTGCCAACTGCAGTCATGCTTTTTAAGCTTTCCCTTGAGCTGTCGCTGGGCAGGTGCGCACCTGCAGGCGCGTCTAGGCCAGCATGGTGCATTTGGTCTAGGCGCCAGCGTATAATATGTACCCCGTGAAAAGAAGAGGTGCCCCCTGGTAGCCACTCGTGGAGCGGTCGGTTGGAACCACAAAGCCCAGGCCTTCCAGGTATTCCACGGTTCCTCGCAAGAGGCATTCTGGTCGCCTGATGGTGTATGCCACTATGGTGACTCTATCACCACCTTGCCGGCAGACTGTGCGCCCCGGAAACATGACGGCCGAGGCGCTGGTAGGGTACTCGGTTCCCGCCATCATCTGGCCATCCACCTCCACGTAGTGGTGGCCATCTGCTGCGGCAGTCCACAGACCACCAGAGGTGTGGTGTGACACCCCCAAAAGCAGGCTCGATAGATCACCGTTGCATTTATCAACGTGTGGCTCGGTCAAATTGTTCACATTGATTGCCAAGCTGGTCCACTGGAGTTGGCTTGCCACTTTGATCATGGCCGTGTTTAGCAGCAAGGTCGTTGCCTGGTGTGACGTAGTGGCCCGGTTCAGGCCGAGTAGTCCACCCTTGTTGTAGGCGCCCAGCATGAGTGTTAGTCCATGGGCATGTGGCCGCGGGTCCGCCTCGAACTCCAAGAGGGAAATGATTTCTCTCATGGCGGTCCAAAAAGATCCTGATCCTTGCTGTAAGTACTGCAGGGCCAACTCTTCCGCGGGGCCATGCCGTCGATAGTGCTTCAGCGGCGGTGGAGGAAAAGTAATGCTGACATTACCTTCCAACCGCGCGGAGAGCGCATCAGCATAGCGAGCAAAGTGCTCCCGGGCCTCGTGCGAGAGTGTTTGCAGTGCATAGCGGACCAGGTCGTTACGGCTGTGCATGGTGGCTGCCGGTGTGCAAGTAATTGAACCGTCTGCTGGCAAAAGTGCCCGGAACGCCTTCAGAAGCATGCGTTCTTCCAGTGCTACCAGGTGCATATGGCCCGGGAGCGTTAGCGCCGTGATGTCTACTACAACTGGTGCAGCTAACACGGCTATGCAGGTGACAGACGCTTGCAAGGAGTCCCAGCATCGGCAAGTGTGGCACTGAGGCTCGCGCTGACTGCAAAAGGGCAGCTACCCGTCTGAGGTAGGGCGGTACAGTTGAGGTGCGTCTTATTTTTGGCCCAGGAGCGCATGGTACACACCAGCGTTGTGAGGCTGCGCGTCTGGACATGATGAAATTGCAGGGTTAGGGTACGGGGTGTTTTACGGCTTCAAGCATTAACTGGCAAGATGCAACAGGCATGCAGGCACCACTGATTTGTGACAGACCATTCACGCTTTAGGGCATCAAGCATGGGAACAGGGGTGACTGGTGTCACCACTTTAGATGCCCCGCGGCGTACCGCTGCGGGCGCCCTCGGCGCTTTGCGCCTACAGGTGTCGCAGGAGGCCAATCAAGTAGCAGTTCTGCGCTACCCAATTGTATTCCTGCGCTTTCATCGGCTTGGCTGCGACACCATCATTGCTCAGATAGAAACGCGGCCCACAACTCAAGGCGGCCTGGTAATGGCCGGATTGCGGTGTGTTCCCGGTGTGTACAACTGCAAACGACAGGCGATATGGTACATGATATCGTTCATCCCCCTCGCCTGTGCGAAAGATCGGCACTTGGACAACAGTGTCGGGCCTGAGCAGGATGGGGTCGAGGCGCTTTTATGCTCTGTCATGATAGTAGTACCGTTTTATCTGGATGGTGAAGAAGGGTGTCTCAGCCACCAGCGCATGCGGGTAATGCTGATTACTCCATCCTGTGATCAACGTTTGGAGATCACTGGCAGGCATGTCCATGGGGACTGGTGTCCACAAGTGGCCACTGTCGTGTTTCCCTGACGTGCCTCGTCCAGGGAGTCTGGCTTCCCAGGTACCTGCCATGTTAGCAGGCTGCACGCGTTCCATGAGATGTCCCCAAAATTCGGCTGCATCGTGTTGGTGCCTGAGATTGGGCCAGGCTCGAAGGTGAGATCCCCAAAGCATTAAGCCTGGCACATACACTGGTCTACGAGGGTGCCTTGACGGCAGCTACGCAGGGCTGGGCCTAGGTCCCCAAAGTACCAGAGCAGGGACGTGATGCAGGCATTCATGTAGCACAGGTTCTGGGGATTACTCAAGTACGTGAGCTCGGGCCTGTGCGGCGTCGCCGGCCCCTCAAGGGCCGTCCTCAGGCGGCTCTAGAGAACCTCCTTTTCGCCCTCCTCCTTGCTCTCCGTGGTGTTGTTCTCCTCGGCCTGCCTGGCGCCCCGGTATAAGGATTGGTGGCGGTCAGGAGGCTCTCCGCACACTGGCCCAGCTTGACTGCAAGGGGTTGGCGCTTCATGCGATCTGGACATCCGAACGCCAATCAGCTAAAGGTTGTTGCTCAGCTTGACCAACAGATCGTGTAGCTCGTCCGCCATTCGGCCCCTGTTGGAGACCATGAGGACGAAGGGAAGCACCTCGGACCGGTACTGCTGCGCCATAGGGCGCGTCGCGTAAAACTTCAGCAGGAGGCCGTCCACCGACACGAGCTCGAAGATGCGCTGGATGGCCTGCTCCGCTCCGCGTGTGGGAGCGGCGTCTTGACGGCGTCGACCTCGGCTTGTGGGTTGCTTGTCGTGATCCAGGAGTGCTTCTCCAGTGCCGGGCGGATTTCCTCGTGGAGGGCCGATTTCATCTTCTCTTTCATGGCGGTCAGCATCGCGATGAGCAGGGTGACTCGGAGCGACTGGTTGAGCCGCCTTCCTCCTTGAGCTTCTTCCAGTCCTGGGCCACGTTGTAGAGGGTCCTCGTGATGGTCATTCCTCTGGTGTTCAGGTAGAGCATGAAAGAAGTGTCGGAGCGTAGAGCCGCTTCGGTGTCCTCGTGCTTCAGTGCTAGGCGGGCCAATAAGAGGCCCACGATCTCCCGCAGCTCGTCCCCGCTCACCTGCTGGGTCAGGGGCACGACATCCTCGCCGTACCAGGTCCGGGACCACGTGTTGGAGCTCCAGCCTCAACTTCCCCAAGAGGTTTGGGGCCGCTGTACTTGTTCTTGGGCTCGTCCTCCGGGAGGGGAGTGCGCTTGGCTGCCTCCGCTTCCTGCTGGCTGAACGCTGAGAGGTGCTTGCCGAAAAAGGTGCTGGTCTCGTCCGCCGCGCTCATCGCCATGAGCAAGAGGTGCCTCCGGAAAAAGTATTTGATGCATGAGGCATGCCTGAAAGTATGCTGTGCAAATTGGAGGGTGAGAGGCAGTGCTTGCCGGCCTAAAGCGGCAGGCTCGACAGGGGCCCCGGTAGCGTAGGCGGTAGTGTGCTTTGAGCCGCTGATCTACCGTGTCCCGGCGTTCCCAGTGCTCTGGGTGCATGCGACGAATGTGATTCTTGATTCCTCCTTTCTCCTTGCTACACCTCTGATGGCAGAAGACGCAGAATGCGCTTAGAGCCTGTCCGTTTTCCTCCGCAAAAAGGATCCAATCAGTGTGCAGGGAGGCCGTGGTTCCGACAGTGGTCAACAAGGGGCCCTCTTTCTGAGTGGCTGCTGCAGCTTCAGGCTTTGCATGTAGCGGGGTCGCATCCCTTGCAGCGGACTGCTCAACAGGGTGCGAGGCCGGTGGCTCCGGTATCGTGGCTGTGTCTTGGCTGGCATGTCGTGCCGTGGCATGACGTACCGGGCACTGTCTCAAAATATGGTTTTGGAAACCACGCCACTTGCGGAACACAACGTTGCAGTGTCTACAAGTCGGCATGCCATCCACACAGTGTTCCATGAAATTTGTGCTAGCACGATCAGTGGGACGTGTGAGCGAGGCCGGCACTAGACTCTGATGATGCTTTTTAGCACAGTGGATGCGCATGATACGTTGGTCGCTAAAGTAGACTCCACACACCGGGCATGGGTGGCTACGACATTCACACGGTACAAGTGTCGTGTGCATCATGGCCTTTGTGTCCCGAAGGTCTCGTGCTAGCTGCGTCTGCCACGCTACTTCAGCCTCCGCGCCGGGGAATGTTGCACTACCCAGCGCCTGCAAGCGACCACGCATGAGGTCATGCAGCACATCGACGGCGGGTTTATAGCGGAGTCTGGCATACAGGTCCTGATTGGTCTCATGGGTTAAGTGGCGGGGCGAGCGGGCTATTGCTCGAAGATGTTTTATTTCCAAGGCGTGTACAGCCCGCAGACCTTTTACGGTGATGCCTACCGCCGGAAGACCATATAGTGCAGTGCTGCGTACGCATGTGCTGTACATCTGTAGCCGGTGCGCCTGGCTCAAACCTTGGCGGCCGTACAGAAACTTGGAGAGCTGGGCAAGGGTGGCTTTGGCCGCGCGCAGGCGCTTCTCAGCACTTTGCAACTCAAAAGCACCGCCAGCCATCGTTGCAATGGCCCTCCGATTGCCTTGATGAGGAATTGGGACTTGTCAGCGTTGACTTGCATTCCCGCTTCACGAAGAACCGCGAACAGCTGCTGCACGCGCTCGGACATGAGCTGAGCGTCACTTATGCTATCCAGAGTAAAGGCGGCTATGAAGTCATCTGTGACGTCATCCTGTACCCAGCGCGTGCTCGTGCGTTGTTCTAAGCAATGCAGCATGTAGGTGGTAACGCACACCCACAGCAGCGGTGAAAGCACGCATCCTTGCCGTATTCCATTTTGTATGGAGATACTGCCCGTGCACTTATGATGCTGGAGGTGGTACTGGGCCTTATGCAGGGCAAGCGTTAACTGCACCGTATCTTCATCAATGCCTAAGTGTCGCATGGCGCGTGCAAGGTAATCATGACTAACCTTATCGAATGCTTTGCTCAGCGCCGGACGCTTGAATGCAATTCTGTCCGGCTCTGCGCTCATGGACCTCCCTGCGTTGTCCGGCAAGGGTCTGTCTGGCTCGCTGGCAATGCTGGGCAACACGACTGATGGCGTTGAGCATGCTTCGACCCGGCATGCGAATTGCGGGACATGTTGTAAGAGGGGTAAGATATGTGTAAGGACTCGGGTTTTGATGATTCTGGCCAGGCACTTACCTAGGGGGCATTGTAAGGCGATTGGTCTATAAGGTTGCGGGGATCTTGGTGGGTTAAATGGTTTTGGGAGTAGGCATAGCCAACCGTCGCACCAATCCGGCGGCAACTCCAGAGTGCCTGCTTGCAGGTGTCTCTGGAAAAGCGCACGAAGGTACGGTAGCAGGTGTGTCGCATACCGCTTCCACACATCAGGCGGCACCTTGCCCTGAGGGACGGCCTTACCTGGGGCCTGTCTGTGGAGGCTTGGGAGGATCTCCTCATCGGTTATTACATAGGGGTGTTGTAGGACATGACTGGTCTGTGTTTTGGGCGGTCCATGCGTGTAAAGTTTGTTGAAGTATTCGTGTATGACATTGAATTCCTGCTGTGGAGTAAGTATGGCGTTGTCATCTCCTCGGATCTGTATCCGTTCCTTAGGGCTCCGCGGTGCAAGCTTCCGGACGCACTGGTACAAAGCGTGCATGTCACCTTTCTCCGCTGCCCTTGTCGCCGACTCAAGGATGTCAGTGACTATTGCTTTGCATCGGGCTTTGCCTCTAGCGCGTAGGGCTTTCTGGCAGCGATGAAAGGCAGCGTGCCGCCGAAACGCCTCGAAGGCGAAAGCTAGGACTCCTCTGTCTCTGTTGCCAAGGCGTAGGGCACGGTGCTGTTGATGTACGGTCTTAAGGTCCCGATATCTATCCCACAACTGCTTGACGTCGAGTTTAGACTCTGGGGTCTGCCAGGCGCGTAGGCGGGTGATGTTAGGGCACTTAGGGAACAGTTCTTGGCAACAATCGTGCACTACGCGCGTCAGTGCATGCGCTGAGCTGGGCCCGGCTTCAGCCAGCCTGGCTTGCAGGCGGTGCTCGAGCTCTTTTGCACTGTCCGCATCACTGCGGATGGCCTCTCGAAGCGTACTTCTGCAGAGGCCCGATTGTGGCGGGCGTGTTTTGACCTGAGCGTAGAAAGCAGGGACTTTGATGTCAGCCGTCAGGGCTCTGTGAGTCCCGCCAGCACGCCAGGGCGAAAAATCTACGTCAGGCAGAACATGGCATCTCTTAGCCTGTGAGTCAGTGTGTGCTTGGCTAAGTGCAATGAAGTCTATCTGACTGGATCGCGCCTGGTTGATAGGGTCCCAGTAGGTCGCTGACCTGCTTCCCGCGCGCCAAGTGTTCAGTGCGCACATGCTGCCCGAGGCTAGAGTTTGCTGGAAATCAGCCATGTCAGGGAATCCTGCACTGCCACGGGTCCGGTAAAGGCCAGGGCCTACATGCGTGCCGTCTGCCTGCAGTGTGCAGTTTGAATCCCCAGCTGTGCATCTGACGTTACGACGCGGCAAGACACTCAAGAGCCTGCTAAGCTTCTGCCAGATTGCTTGACGCTTGTGCAGTCGCTGCTTTTGTGGGTCAGGGTCCCAAGCCCACTGGTAGACGTTTATGAGGTCCAGGTGTTGCTGTTGCTTAGGGGAGCCTATGGGTATACGAACGTGTAAAAGTCTTCCCGGAACAAGTTCTTGAAATCGAACATCCAAAGCGTTGGCGATCTTGTCAGAGATGTAGACAGCAACTCCGGCCCATCGGTGGGCTGGGTCCGGGCTGGAGATGACCATCCAACCAGGAACGCGGTACTCAGTGAAAGATCGCCCCAAGCCATAATGCGTCTCCTGCAGGAAAATGATGTCATAAGGATTGTCAGGCCGGTACACAAGCGGCCCACGTTCTTTGATAGGATGCGGAGCCATGGCCTCTTGGTAGGCGTAGAAGCCGCGCGCCTTGCGACTTGCGGCGTCGTGGTTTCCACTGCGCCACCCCGTTGCCTCAATGTGAGCCGCCTGCCTCTGTACATGGCGGTTCCATCGGTAGACTGTTGCGCTCGTCTCACTGCGCGCTGGTGGGCGCGCTTGATCCGCCTCTGGCGGGATGTCGCTGGTGGAGCCTCTCCGCAGTGCTTCGCAATATCTGGAGCTTCCGTGGTAGCTGTATTTCTTGCTCCAGGGGCGGTAGCGGATTCCGCCTCAACCCTCGCATCTAGAGTGCTGGTGGCATGTTCGCTGTTGGATGGGAGTCTGCCAGCACTCTCCGGGGAATTGGGACCCCGGCGGCCCATCAAGAGCGAGTCGTCCCCTTGACCAGTCTCTGGCAAAGATAAGTGGTCCATGTTTCGTGCACAGCACAGCAGTGTGTGTTCCACCAGAGGAGCAGTCGCGGCGCCCAGCGCGCCATCGTATGGGGGGAGCTAGCTAGGTGCTACTCGGGCCGAGATGCTTCATCATTGTCATCATCATCATCATTATCATCATCATCACATCATCATTGTCATCATCATTAACATCATTATCATCGTCATCAACATCATCATCATCATCATCAGAAGTATTGTAATCATCATCACCACCGTTATCGTCATCACCATCACCAGCAGCATCATGGTCATCATCATCATCATCATCACCACCATCGCCATTATCACCATCACCATTACCATCATCATCGTCATCACCACCACAACCATGCCACCCCATGTTCTGCGAATCGTGACGCAAGCTTTTGAGGATCGAGGCGAATGCGAGACCTTGCTGTCGCTTCAGGGGCTGGCATAAGCTCCGGCAGCGTCCTCGCTCTTCTCAGTCGTTTCCTGTCCGAGCCTCCCCCTTGTCTCGACTGTGTCCGCTGTCCGGTCCGTCCCACTCTCTGCCTCTCTTCTCTTTTCTCTTGGGAATTGGTATAGGGGTGGTTCTGATACCGGTGCTGGAGTTCCTGTGGCTGCTGAGGGCAGCTGTCCTGCGGCGAGTGGCCCGCCTGATCTTTGCAGATTCCTCTTATTACCGCGTCCTCTTGGGCGCAGGGAGGCGGCTGCGGTTAAGGACCAACCCGTGCTTGCCCTCCGGGCCCCTCTCTTCCCCTTAATCCGAGCTTCTTATCATTAGGCCCCCCCCTCCAAAAAAAAGTTTCAGAATAAAATTTCCGGGGGTCGTATTAATGACAAATCATCCCTGGGTTGCTGGGGTTCTTTGGGCTCTATTAAAGACCATAGCAATGTATTGAATCTCTATGAAGAAGCCATTCAAAAAGGCTGGATGCATGGAGAAAACCTCCACTGGGGCTCTTTGGGCTCTATTAAAAACCATAGCAATGTATTGAATCTTTATTAGAAAGCTATTCAAAAAGGCTGGATGCATGGAGAAAACCTCCACTGAGGCTCTTTGGGCTCTTTTAAAAACCATAGACAATCTCACGCCTCGTGATATCCTCTTATCCTCTAGCCAACAGGTGAGATGCTCACCGTCCTTTCATTTGAAAATCTTTTATCACGGTCTTGGCATTGCCCATGATGGGAAGTCTCTGGTACTCTCACTGATGCGTTGGCCTTTGTAGGTTTTGTCAAATGCGCATGTCATGGCCACTTTTCGAACCTTTTCTCATGCATGAATTTTATTGAGTGCTTTATGGTGCGATTTATCGGAGAATCACAGGACTGAATATCTCCTGCAGGACATGTGGCTCTGAAGGCAGAGCGATTTTGAAAGTTTTGACCCACCCTCCCACCCTGGGGGGGAATGAAGCACCGCTTTTGATGTGCAAGGGCCATCGAAGCATATGTGAGTGTTGTGCGGCATCGGCGTTTGGCCGCGTCGAACTGATCGTGCATTCCCCTTCTTCTTTTTTTCTTCATTCGACGGTCTCATAAAGCAATGTATTGAATCTGTATCTAAGCTTGGCCTCGGAAGGCAGCCTCAGCTGAAAGGAAAAGGCCGGTTCCCAGAAGAGGTTTGCTCCTGTATTAAAGAAGCAAGCAAGCAATGGCAAAGACTGCAGGCGCAGCTGGGCCGGGACCGGCCGGCTTCCTATAAATGTGACCCCTTTTATAAATGTGAGGCTGTGTGCCTCCGGGCAGGCCCCGTAAGGGGTAGCTCAGGAGAGAATGAAAAATTGCTTCCCCGGATAAGCGAATCAACAAGGAAAGCTAGCTTTCTGAGATCCTTGAACTTTTGGAAAAAGGTTGGCCTCGGAGGGCAGCCTGTGCTCAAAGGCAAAGGGCCGGTTCCCAGAGAAGCTTTGTCCTGTATTAAAGAAGCAAGCAAGCAATGGCAAAGACTGCAGGCACAGCTGGGCCGGGACCGGCCGGCTTCCTACAAGTGTGACGCCTTTTATAAATGTGAGGCCGTGTGCCTCCGGGCAGGCCCCGTAAGGGGTAGCTCAGGAGAGAATGAAAAATTGCTTCCCCGGATAAGCGAATCAATGAGGAAAGCTAGCTTTCTGAGATCCTTGAACTTTTGGAAAAAGGTTGGCCTCGGAGGGCAGCCTGTGCTCAAAGGCAAAGGGCCGGTTCCCAGAGAAGCTTTGTCCTGTATTAAAGAAGCAAGCAAGCAATGGCAAAGACTGCAGGCACAGCTGGGCCGGGACCGGCCGGCTTCCTACAAGTGTGACGCCTTTTATAAATGTGAGGCCGTGTGCCTCCGGGCAGGCCCCGTAAGGGGTAGCTCAGGAGAGAATGAAAAATTGCTTCCCCGGATAAGCGAATCAATGAGGAAAGCTAGCTTTCTGAGATCCTTGAACTTTTGGAAAAAGGTTGGCCTCGGAGGGCAGCCTGTGCTCAAAGGCAAAGGGCCGGTTCCCAGAGAAGCTTTGTCCTGTATTAAAGAAGCAAGCAAGCAATGGCAAAGACTGCAGGCACAGCTGGGCCGGGACCGGCCGGCTTCCTACAAGTGTGACGCCTTTTATAAATGTGAGGCCGTGTGCCTCCGGGCAGGCCCCGTAAGGGGTAGCTCAGGAGAGAGTGAAAAATTGCTTCCCCGGATAAGCGAATCAATGAGGAAAGCTAGCTTTCTGAGATCCCTGAACTTTTGGAAAAAGCTTGGCCGGCAGCCTCTGCTCAAAGGCAAAGGGCCGGTTCCCAGAGAAGCTTTGCTCCTGTACCAACAGACTGGAGATCAGCCCCAGTTGCAGAAATGAAGAGCCAGTGCACAGCTTTGGACCCTACTAAAATTACTTGCCCCAAAAAATTTCTTTAAATGTGAGGGATTTTCTCCAGACGAAGTCCAACCAAGTCCTCACGTAATGGAAACGCCTTTTCGGAGCCACTCCGGAGCCGACAAAATTTCTTTAAATGTGGATTTTGTTAATCAGAAGCTCGGATTAAGACCGCTCCGCTAGGACCTCAAGCCTCGCCCTTGCATGCAAGCCCGAATCGAGCTCCTCGAGGAGCAAGTGTTTGAGCTCCGGGCTCTTTTGGGTGTGGAGGAGGGAGGTTTCGAGATTGTGCGAACGCCAAGGCCTGTTTCAGTGCAGGGCTCACCGGAGCCCAGGTCGGCTGGCCGTGCACGCAGCAGTCAAGCAGCAGCCAGCTCCCGCGCGGATACCCATTGCAGCAGTGCAGCTCGGAACCACGGCGAGGGCGTGCCGCCTTTGCCCAGGACCGACAGAGATTCGGCTTGCAGGGAAATTGGACTCTGGCTCCTCCGCTCGCTGTCTGGAGAGCATAGGGGGGCGTCGGGGCACGAGGGAAATCTCTTGCAGCCAGTGCGAGTGTACACGTCGTATCACGAAAAGGGGTTCGAGCCTTGGGGCCTTTGTGCTTGCGGGGCATTTGGACGTGGTGCTCGGAGCAGCCGAGCTTGACCCACCTTTTACTGATGGCGGAGGAGGAGTGCTGCACAGCCAGACTACCTGTTGGTGGGCCAGGACGGGCCGGACTACGACTATGTGGTCGGCGTCCTGAGCTTCGCTAGTGGGCCCGAAGGAGCTGCCTCGACATGCGAAGTGCCTCCGTGTGCGCGCCTTGGTCTGCGGCGCCGTATGGCCCCTTTCGGCGCGATGCCTTTCTGGCTCGTCGCCTGTTTGCCGACTGGCCTGGGAGATGGCCGGAGCTGGATTCTGGGTATTGCCGTGGTTTTACAGCCACCGAACGTTTCTTTTCGTATGCCACTTGTGATTGGCAGCTTTCGCTCCATCTACGATCCGAATTTCGGCTGCTCTTGAAAACCCGGCGGCCCAAATTGCCTCGTGAGCTTCCCAGAGGCGTGCTCAAAAAGAAGGCCGGAGGGAGATTGTTTGGGAGGAGCGGGGAAGCATAACATGCCACCCCATGTTCTGCGAATCGTGACGCAAGCTTTTGACCCGCCCGCCCGCCCGGAGCTGGATTCTGGGTATTGCCGTGGTTTTACAGCTACCGAACGTTTCGGTATGCCACTTGCGATTGGCAGCTTTCGCTGCCCTCCTCGGCTATGGCATCTACGATCCGAATTTCGGCTGCTCTTGAAAACCCGGCGGCCCAAGGTTCGGCCGGATTGCCTCGTGAACTTCCCAGAGGCGTCCTCAAAAAGAAGGGCTGGAGGGAGATTGTTTGGGAGGAGCGGGGAAGCATAACATGATCATGATCACGTTGATCATCCTCACAATCAGCATCACCACCACCATCGGCATTTACACCACCAATGTCGTCGTCATGACCGGCAACAATATCAGGTTATCATCAGCTTAACGGTTCATGATTCTTCATTAGTTGTCCATCAGTGCTTTGAGTATCATTGTAACTATGATGTCTTGCACTCTTTCCCTTGTGTCCGAGAACCTGTGCATTCCCGCAACATCCAGGACCAAGACCCTAGCTTCAAAGCTCTTTAGGAGTTCGGCTTCGGCTTGCACATGGGATTCAGTGAAGGAAGGATTCTCCGGGGCATAGGATTTGTCGGGTCGGTCTGAGCTTTCGGGTGCCTGCCTGAAGGTCTTCGAGTCGAGCTTCGGCTTGAGGGTGGCCTGCGCGTCATCAAAGCCGCACAGACAAACCTCATTCCTCTCTCTGCATAGCTCCAACAAAATGGAAATACTAAGTATGTTACAAAGCAAACACAATGCCCTTTAACTTTAACGCCTCCAACGCTTCCCCGCCAGCAATCAACACTGGAAGGCGAACCCCGCAAACCCCAAATCCTCAAGCCCAAAGCCTCCAACTCCCAAGTAAGTCACTAAACCCACTAAACTGGAATCAGGGTTTAGGGTTTAGGGTTTAGGGATCTCGCAGACCATGGAAACAAAGCAGCACATACCTTGGAAGGCCCGGGTTGCAGCCGCCCAGACGGCGAAGGCACCGCCGTACTTCACAGGGCTTTTGGCCTTTTATAGAAATCTTGGAAGTGCTTTTGTACGGCTTCTTACCAGAAGTTTCGCAGGGTTTGATAGAATTAGTTGGGGTTCGGGAGTTGAGGGTTGAAGGGTTCACTTACTGCTGCTTTTCCGAAGCGGAGTCAGGAACCATATGTCAAGCTAAACGGATCGGCATATGACATCAATACAAATTGTTGCGGTACCTTCTGTATATATATATATATATCCTCAACCCTCAATTCACTAAGGAGTTGGAGGGGTTCAGGGTTTAGAAGTTTAGATGTGCAGAGTTCAGGGACATTTAGGGGTGTAGAGTGTAGTGTGTGGAGTTTACAGTCCCCGCATCTCTGAGCAAAACTCCTCTCTCCAAGACGCAAAATGCGTTTTTTATATACAGGAGCGCATCCGTCCTTGCACCATAGATAGACCAAACGTGCGGGCAGCGCTTTCGCTTCTCTGGTGCCTGGACAGGAGCAGTCGCTAAAGGTGCTGCTCTTTGGGAAGGAGTGCTGGGCTGTGACCAACTTTTTCCGGGATGTTCAGGGTCTGGGGAATTATGCAAGAAATGGTTAAGCGGTGGAAGGCCTAAAGCTGTGAACGTGGACGCCCAAACCATCGGCACTGCACAGGTGTGTTTTCGGCTTTCCACGATGAGGAGTGTTTAGTCTATTTGTTAGATTGTCGTGGGATTCCTAAACCTCAACCCCGAAGCAAACCCTACCAACCCCATCTCTCAACCTTCCTAAATCCCTTGGCAGTAACCGGACATTTGGAGCTTCATGAGGGAGCTTGGGGTGATGTCAAGGTTTTGGCTCCCCAGCAGTGTTGAGGGAGGAGGGAGCGTCTGTGCGCAGGAGGTAAGCCCCGCTTCGCTGAAACTTGCTTCGTTGATCTGGCTTGAACATGAACGGACTAAACTACCCCAAACCATAAAACCCTTCAAGTTTCCCTAAAGCCTCTAGCAAGCTGTATTTCCGTCATCTGCACAGAGTGGCTCAAACTCTGCTGTTGATTTGTTAAACTCCAGTGCAGCACCTGTGCCGCCATGAGCCGCACGTTGGTCCTGAGCTTCTTCCTGGTGGCAGCTCGCATCCAAGCGACGCGCACCTTGGAGGGTCGTGGCGGGACCATGCAAGATGTGGAGATGATTACGGCGGTGGGCAACTCTGTGAAGGAGCAGCACTCTAGTGATGCTCGAGTGAGAGATGCCATCGATGAAGTCCGTAGCAATGCCGTGCAACTCATCAGAGAGATCGGTGATGCTGCGAAGAGCGGCAGTGAGTGGGAGTTTTGCGGCTTTGCCAAACTCTGCAAGGGCGCGACGCCTGAATGCTGCAAAACCTGGAGTGGCTTCTTGCACGAGTATTCCTACGAATGCAAAGCTAAGCATTCCGGCTGTCTTTTGTCTATGGGCGCTCCACTCGACCGCTGAGGGGCGGAGGGGTGGAGGGTTTCTGAAGCCGCAAACTGTCCTGGAAAACAAGAAGCGCCGCGGGTTGGTGTTGAGGTTTTGGGACATCCGGTTCTGATGGATTTGGGTTTGGGGGGGCAAATCGAAATTCGAGGAGAGGGAGGCTCTCTAGGAAGCGATGGCAAAGGTTTCTGAGGTTCAGGGGTTGAATCATCAGGCTTCTTTTCGGTCCCATGTTTTCATCTCAGTCCGGTTTCGGGACTTTAGACCCGAAGCCTCTTAACTCGGAGCCTTTCAAGACTAAACCCCAAATCCCTGCACATTCCTGCATCTTTCAACCCTCAACCTTTCAACCCGAAACTCACCCAGCACCCTTAAACGTACACGGCGTGAGATATAGAGTATATACAGCAGAAGCCCTGCATTTGTGATTCCCTTCAACTACTTTCCTGCGATTGTGCCAGGGCTCCTTAACGATAAAGGCTTCCGAACGCGCAGGACAAGAGAGTTTAGACCGTCTGATGTTTTGGTCAGCAAGTACTAGAATGCTAACCCAAACACTTGAGCCCTAATCCCTTGTTGATTTTAGCCTGCCTAATATCTGGATAATTAGCCCAGGAGCTGGCGAATGAGCCGCCTGCCTGAACGTCGCCACAATGTCAGAATGTGTAGGGGCGCTGTTGGAGCTCGCAACCCGAAGCCTGTCCCCTCTGCATGACCAGATCATAGAGTTTGAGTCTTTGATAGCGCGTACTTGTATAGCCAAAGTACTATCCTGCGTGTAGCTCAAGTAGCTACTATCCCAGGTACAAGCATGGGAGGAGGGGCTTCGGAGTGGAACGATTCGGCATGGTTTTGTTCGGAGTTCATAATTTCGGGTTCACAGCAGGGTTTGGGGTTAAGAGGCCAGGGTTCAGGGTGCAGGATTCAGTTTTCAGGGTTTAGGGGATACTGTAGCTCTGGGATGGAGATGGCAGGCTTCTGGGTGTGTTTGGTTAAGTTGAGGCTCGAGGGATTGGTGTCTGCAGGTGTGGGTTCAGGGGTTCTGGTGGTATGTACACTTGTAATATACATTTTATTGTATCTATATATATATATATACGCACACGCACACACACACACACACACACACACTTAATGAGTTTTGCATTATGACTGTTGCTACCTGTTTTTTTTGTGTCCTTGCTCAGCCATGTCAATGTTTTTGTAGTGTTAGTATCCTGAGTTATCAGCTGTCGTTACTAGTGCTGTTGACTTATTGACATTACAATTCGTTCAGCATATTCTTCTAGACATGATCGTTGACATACAGGGCTGTGCGCGAGTTTCAGAAAACATGGAATCCCAATATGACACTAAAAAGTAGGCACCCTGTTTTTTTCTTCGTCTTGCTATGGAGGTTTGAGAAGTGTTTCGTGGAACAAGTGCAAGTCTTATTGCGGCGACAGCCATTCTGACGTTGAGGTCGTCGTCCACTCAGCATTTGGGCATGTAAGGGTCGCGCCTCGGCATCCGCTCCGCTCATTGCAGCCCGTTTTCCTACGCTTGAGAGGGCTGTTCTGCTCTGTTCAATCGACACATGTAGCATGCAGCATGAGTCACAGAAGCAACCGGACTCCAACATAGGCTTGCGAACAGAACATGTGCATGCGACGAACGACCACCCAAGCAGAGCAAGGTTCAAGCTCGCCAAGCTAGCCCAGCTAGCCGAGCTTGGGGATTCAAGCTGCGTTTCTGCTCTCCTTCGGGATGGCTCCCCGAGCAGCCCACGCGCGACTGTCGGAGGTCGGTTGGGGGCTTGGGGGCGTCATCCTAGGTGGCAGAAAAGGAAGCGGGGGAGTCTAACTGTACTTACGTCCACGCAGAGGGGTTTTCTTTTATTTCTTGTAGTGAGGTTGTATCGGCTTTCACTTTGGCGGCAGCAGCAGCAGGAGTGTCAGTAGGAGTAGGAGCATGAGCAAGAGTAAGGGAGCAGGAGTGGGAGTTGGAGGAATAGGAATAGAAGGGAGTAGGAGCAGGAGGAGGAAGAGCAGGAGGAGGAGTAGCAGGACAAAGGAGTAATAGGAGTGATAGGAGGAAGAGGAGTAGTAGGAGTAGTAGGAGCAGTCGAAGTAGCAGGAGTGGTAGGACGGTAGGAGTTCCAAGAGAAGTAGGCGGCAGGAAGAGCAGCAAAACGAAGTAGCATCAGAAGCTGCAGTCGCAGGAGCAAGGGACAGGATCAGGAGCAGTATCAGGAGCAGCAGCGGCAGCGCCAGCAGTAGTTATGTGGCTGCTCTTCGTCCTTCTATAGCTTTTTTCTGTAGCGCATAGGCTATAGAGTTTGGAGTTTGCTGCATGATATGGCCGCTCGTAATCCTTCTAGTCAACCCTGAACCCTAAGCCACTGAACTCGACCAAGGGCTCAATGGGAAGAGGGCATTGGAGTTCAAACCCTAAACTCTTACCTCCGAAGCCCCGAAGCGGGAGAGTTCCAGGCACTCCGCGCAGGGCAGACCCTGTCGAAACTGCAGCTCCAAAAGTTATTTGGCGCCCTGGCAGCTCTTTCGGGATTCAGGGTTTAGGGTATAGTGGTTTTGCGGCTTGGGCTTCAGTATGCAGGGTCTTCGGATACGGGAGGGACGGAAGACTCGGTTTTCATCTTCCCTCATACTCCGTATATAGCTATACACTCATCTACTCCCATGCCCTGCTCTGAGGGCTGAGACCCCTGAGGCTTCGGTTGCTACGCTGGGGTTTGGGGTTTGCGGGCTTCTGCTCTCGAGTTGCTGATTTTGATCTGAATTTAGAGGGTTCTGTTTTCAGGTTCCTTGGAAGCGCTTCAAGTGTCTTCTTGGAGGGTATGGCACGGTTTAAAGCTTTAACGGCTGAAGGGTTTGGGGACTTGCTTTGCCGCTTCCTGGGGGACTTCCCGTTGTGTCATAGCCTTGGACTCCGATGGCCATCGGAGTCCTCCTCGTTTTATTTCCCGAGTCTTCCGGGGGATTCGGAAGTTTGGGCTGTGCTGCCACAGTCCCCTAAATCCTACACCCCAAATCGTAAAGAGTCTACAGGGTCGTCAACATGAAGAGTTCGGAGTGCCTTCCTTCTGTCAAGCATGAAGTAAAGTTGCAATTGCTGGCGATATGATAACTTATTCCAAACTTGATTCAAAAGTGCATCGCGAGATCCTTCATCACGAACATGTGTCAATCTCATCGGATTATTGGCATTCGAGATCAACACGGATTGTTGTAAAACAATATAAATGAGTTGCAAGATCGCTCAAACGATGCGGACACTACATTCTCCTCCGAAGAGGGCACGGGGGTCAATCGATTTCGGAGCTATCCTCCTTCGATGTACCAATCAAAGTGCACTGATCACCTTCGGTAAGAAGCTTCGCGCTTGGAGGCATTTTTTGCCCATTCGCACGACACGGATACAAGCGTCTTTGCATAGGAAACTTTCGTTGTAGGTCCTGCAGCCAAGTTCCAACACCCGAAGCATCCATGCCACATTCAAGCACAAACAAAGAATCAACCAGCGCACTGGCGCATGCTGGTAACCAACCCTTTAACCACTGACGAAAATGCTTCAACGGCGTTTTCGTGCAATCCATGCACTCGTAGAAGTCCCTCCTTGAACCTGGGACAGCCCTGTACATCCATCGCAGGAGAAACTGATGCTACAGTAGTCATAAAACCCTTCTCCTGTGCTGTACAGGCTTTAACAGGTCTGTTTAAACACCCCACAGCCTACCACCGCTTCGAAGGAGAGGATGATCTTGCGGTTCTGTACAGCTCGGCCACCCCGACAGCAGCCAATTAAGCTGTAAGGAGGGTAAGCCCGTTCAAGCCTACCTAATGCTTCAACCCGGAGCAGGCTGTAGAGCTTGGGGCTTTTGCTGTGGAGTTTGGTTCCCAAGTTCCCATCACCATGGCAATTTGAGTTGCATCCATGTGGCCTGCCATAGGCAGTTAAAGCCGTGGTTTAGGTTCAAACTTTGTGTTTTGGGTTTCAAGCTGCAGGGTGTCACAGGGTTTTCAAGGGACCTGACGGCTCCCAGTGCCAAGTTGGACCCGGGCCCCGGACCCAAAACTTTCGGCCCTTGGAGTGGAATCCTCCAGACCGTGATAGTAACCCTCCGAAACAACGGTTTGGGAAGGTTGGGGACGACCTCCTGTAGTAATGGAGCCCCGAAGGCGAAGCATCGAAGTGAAAACTCAACATGAAATCACGCGCAAAGGTACTACAGCATAACGTAGAGGACCCAAGACTTCCCCTGGAGGCCCTAGAACCCCCAGATTGACACACAAAGCCCCCTCATGAAGCCCCAAGCCTTTTGAAGTTTGTTTCTTGGCTTATTCTTTTTCGAGGTGAAAGCCACAGAGCTTGGTGACGTCAGAGCAGAGGCTCCCTGGCAGGTGTTTTAAGCTTGCGCCTGGGGTGCTATTCAGGCTTCTGTCAGGGTTTGGGGCTTAGGGTTCAATGAGGAATTTGTAAGGGGTGTATAGAGGGGTGTGGCAGGGAATGGTTCTGTTACGGCTTGGGCTGTAAGGCCAAGAGCTGCGAATCTGGGTGTCAAGGCTTTTTCTTGGGGCCGAGTGATTCCGGGTTAAGCGTTTAGGGCTGAGTAAACAGGACCGTCAGCCTTAAAGTTGTGAGCGGGCTCGTGGTTTTATAGCTGGAGCAGGTAGCTTGCTGATGATAGCTCACGCCCTGCATGTGTCAGCGGTTCCCTCGCAAGGACCTGCTCAAATTCCTTTACGGCGATGGAGAGGCGATTGCAAAGGCGTCCTGGCTGCCACACGAAGTCTCCAGTCGTCTCTCAAGTGTTTTGATTTCTCAGCGACCGGAACTTGCGATGCCAGATTGACGGCCTAAAGCCCCAAGAAACCCAGGCGCTCCCTGATCTCCAGCTGCCGGATAAGGCCGTTGCAAGTCGGGCTGAGGCCGGGTCTTTCTCCATGATGATTTTCCATCGTTTGTATTCCTAATTCCATTGTCCGAAAGTGGCTGCCGCCTGCGGCAGCAGCAGCTGC